GATGTTGCGCGGATTAATTAGCTCTGGGCAAAGCCCTGTGAGATCCTTGGATGAAAGATGCTATAGAAGAACAGAGCATTAATTTAATATTATTAAAGTAATTGGTTAGTGGATAGAGAGCAGAGGGTTGGAGTTAACCATATTTATTCTTCCTGGGAGCTGAGGAGGAAAGCACATCCCACATGGGTCTGCGATGGGACCAGGTTTCTTCATACTAAAAAAGGGAGACAAAGCAGGACCTGGGACTGTTCGATGTGCAGCGGATGCGAAAAGAGCAGGAGCGATTATGGCATGGAGGGAAGCAGGTTTTTGTACACTGTAGTCTTATGAGAATAAGCTCGGGGGTGGGATATGGCATTTTATGTGTCTTAAGTGTAACACGATGCCATTGGGTGGAAACACTGCCCAAGCTAATTATAGTGTGAACAGCACTGAATTAGATTATGCAGCAGTGGAAACGGATCCAGGCGTATTGACAGACCTGATGTTTTCGTTACTGATGTTTTATTAAAGGGAAGCAGAATTATTGGCAGTACAAGGTATTTTCCTGTGTAAGCAGTAATGGAGAGGGCATCGGATGTGCCAGATAAGGGAATACAGCAGAGTTAAAGAAACCTTTTGGGGATCAGAGCAGATACAGACTTTTATTAGATCAGGCCATGGAGCGGTTTGCATTTAATCAGGCAGTTCGTTCCATAGCTTCCCTTGGATGGGCCGTTCAATGCCTCACATGTGAGGTGCATCACATTTCTGCGGTGGAGCTTGGTTTCTGCAAGTGCTGCTTAACATAAGACTCCTCCTTTTCCATTATGTATAACTTTGCCACACTCGAATTGTTTGGCTGGCCGTTTCCTGCGCTTGGCGGCTGCTTCAAGTGGGCTGCTTGTTTGCTTGCTTGCTTGCCTTGATTTTTAATTTCATTAAAAAAAAAATTGGTCCTTTCTGAGAACAAATGCAGGGCAAATGACTTTGCTTTGCCCACTTTTATGGTAGCAGTGGCATGGACAAGTGGTAGCACCTCCCTACATTGGGACTTGTAATTCGGTGGAGGGGTCAGGTCCACGCACCTTTTGCGACTCCCGTGGGAAGTCACCCCCCGTTTGGCCACGGAAGCAGCCTTTGAAGCACCAGGGCTCAAAATGTCGAGCGGGCCAGAGTCTTGGGGATGGGACCAGGAGCTATGGGTCCACGAGGAAGCCTGGGGCTGAGGGGTGGGAAGGATGCAGGAGCTGAGACAAAGCAGAGAAGAGCAGAGACAGGCTGTGGTGGACAAAGGTAGACATACCCATAAGCACTAGGCTTGAATCCCACATTCCTCTGCTGTCAGGTAGAGATGCCTCTCATCTTCCTCTAGCACTGAGGTTCCCACAGAGGATGGCAATGTGCTACCACTACTGCTTGCCCTGCTAGCCCAGGGGACAGAGGTCTGTGCTGCAGATCTCACCTGCTGCTCGGTTCCACCCGACAGCTTTTCTGTTCAGCCAGCTTGTGCTTGATTTTGTCATTAGGATGTTAATTAGGGTGTAATTAAACCAAGTGCTAGGATGCATATGCATGCAGGGGGTTGGGGAGGGGTGCAAATTAGAGGTGCCCACAGAGCTTTAATTCTGGCATGTCCAAATTCCCGAGTCCTTGCTTTTGTAACCTTAGCATGACACCAGCATAGTTTAGGATATACTTAGTAGTGCTATTTCCACAGCACCATGAGGCCTCGGTGAACTCAGGGCTTTGTTGTAAAAGTCAGTCCTGGAAGCCAGCCCTTGCCCTGGAGACTTCACCATTGAATCACGTATTAGATGATAGTACCCAGGTGTCCTGACAGGCCTTATCTCCCCTTCTAAGCTCCCTAACTCACTTCTGGCTGCCTGCTGGGAGTAAGGGCTGACCTCAAGGGCTGACACACCAGAAGCCTGGCTTCTTGTCTGTCTCATTAATATTAGGCAATCAGGACATGTCCCTAACGTTGCAATCAGAGGAACGGTTTGTAAAGTCAACTCCCAAAACTCATCTCTGCAATGCTTTGGTTGTCCGATATCAGGCTGGCCGGAGGTCTTTCATGCTGGACTGTTCCCACGAGGGGTTGCTCACGTGATAGTGTTCCCTTCTGTATGCTGCTGGGATCTTTGTGCCCATTTGGTTCTCTGAGAGTGCTGTACAAGGATCTCCAATGAGCATTTCCCACTGGCATTTGCTCAGAGATAAGGGACTTGCGGTTTACCAAGCAGTTAACATTGTCTCCTTCCAGCCCTCTAGAGACCCAGCCTTTAAAATCCTGCATGCAGCACACAGCAGCAGTAAAGCAGACTCCTGGGATGCTAAAAGGGGTGCATTATGTCACTGCCCCAATATTTTGCTGCTATCATCTTCCAAACCAGGCTACAACTTCTAGGGAAGAACTGAGATCTGCCGTGGGCCCCCTTCTTCCACCAACTTTCCCCCCACCAAGAAAGATTCATCAGTTTGAGGTTTAGATGACAATTCTTGTTTCAGCCAGGTTCAACTAAAAGAGAGAAGCCCAAAGTTTGGATTCAGATCCAGGCTTCCCCAGGGATCAGAAAGGCCAAAATCTTGGGCTTGGTTTGGATCTATTGGGAACTCTTGCCTTGCAATCAAAGCCCTTCTGTGTAATATCCTGATTACTTTAGCCATTTAATCTGTCACGCAGTGGAACCTGGAGACCCCATTCATGGGTCAAGGCATAATTTTTCAGAGCACTGTGTATACAAAGAGTAAGAGAGCATCCCTTTCTGAACACGTGATGTTTTGGGGGACAACCATAACACAAATACCTCACTGGAAATTGAAAAAGCCAAAGTATAGGTAAATAATTTCATATCAACACTTAGCCTTTATAGGTGATTTTAACAGGGGTAATAGCACTTCTAATAACAAAGGCCATTGCTGATGCCCTCTGCAAGTCCATAACATTAACTTAATGGTGAAAGTAATTGGCCTGGAAGAGGAGCTGTCCTTGTAGATTAACCCTGGGATTTCTAGGTGATCTTTTCCTTCTAACTGCAAGGGGTTGGCAATGAGTGTGAGTAACATTTCATGTTGGTGAAAAGCAGATCAGGGTAGAAACAGTCTCAGCCTTAGTCATTCATATTAGAGTCCCATATTTACACCTTTGTAGGATCACAGACAAGCAAAACTGGAAGGGACTGCAGGAAGTCATCAGATCCGGCACTCTGGTCCCTGCGTGAGGCAGGACCATCCTTGACTAAACCATCCTGTCCAAGTGCTTGTCCAGCCTAGTCCTAAAAGTGCTCTCCTGAATGACTACAAGGCATCTTGCCCCCAAAACCCCAAGAGCATCCTACCCTGCCACCGGTAAAACAAAGGGGCAAGGGCTGTTGGAAAGGACCAGAGTCAATATGAACTATTATAAGACCAGTTAACGCCCATCACAGTCTGAGTGCAGCACCTATATGACTCAATTCTCACAGCTGCTGTGAAACAGGGAAGTGGCTATTAGTGCATTTTGTAGATGAGAAAAGCCGAGGCACCAGGTTGGCGATTCATGAAGGAGTCATGTCTTTGAGGTGCTCAGTTTGGGACACTTAGGACCTGGTTTTCCAAGGTGCGGGCCACCCAGAGCTTCCATTGCTCTGCCCTAGGGTTGCAGCTGCCCTACATCTTTAGGATTTATCCTGGGGTATCCTAAATGAAGTTCTCCAAACCAAAGTCCATTCTCAACAATTGGATCCTAAATGACACACCTGTGTAGGCACCCATAAGGCAGTGCAATGTGGGAAGCCATCAGGGAGGGGCATGGATTCCCCTGGAGGATTCCTTCTCCATGGAGTTTGTATGTTGGGCACAGTGTGCAGCCCCTACGATGTGCAGCTCCAAGGTGATTTCAGTTCTTACTCTCAAGCTCTGTTGAGTTGCAGTGACCACAGGAGTTGGCAGGTGCCACCCGTACGTTATCAGTGTCCTTCAGAAGCTATAAATTAGCTGAAATATTTAGAAACTATTCAGAAGGAAGATGCAGCTCTGTGAAAAGGATTAGTTAGCTGTTGCCTGGATCAGTGGGCCCGTGGACCTTGAGGAGCCCAAGAACTGCATTCCAGGGTCCTTCCCGGTACCCACCAGACAGCATTGTTCGGGGATGCCTGACCTCACTGAACTTTGTGAAAAGAGAAGCTTGCTGTGTATCAGGCATCAGAGGGACTGCTGATAAGTTGCTGACACGAATTGCTTTTGTCTGTCATCGTTTGTCTTGTTACTATGCGTAGTTGTGTTTTTCTTAAGTCAATAAATCTTTCTTACCTTTCTACCCCCGACCACACTTTCAATCCTAAACCCTCCGCAGGCAGCTAAGACACTGGTCACCAAGCTCTCTGTGACCCATGGCTCTGGGTGGGTGGTAGTATCCAAAGTCATAGGAGTCCACGTCTCCAAAATCCCACTGGTACTCGCTGACAGCTCAGCAAGGAGGCCAGGGGTCGTGGGAACCATGGAGGTTGGACGAGCTTGGGGTTGAGGTACGTAGGGTTGTCAGGGTGAGAAATGCTTGCATTGCTCTCTGCTAGTGGGGAAATAGAGGACTTGCCTCTAGAGCTGTTCACTTCCCCACAGTGCCAGGTGGAGTCATCACACCATGCTCATTCCTGCCCATATGGAACGGGATGGCCTCACTCCATGTCCATGTTATTCCTCATTGCAGTGGCTTCATTGCCAGGGATGCTGTCTGTGTAGGGCTTGGAGCCCCAGCGAAGTCCACTGGGTTGTGCAGTGATTCCAGCCTGCAGGAAATGTGCTTGGCAGCTCCCACTGCAGTGTTGACAGGGCATGGTCTTCACTTCCTGTCCTAAATGGGTCGTGGGACCTGTTGAACCCCTGCCCCATTGGGCCTGATGATAAAGTCCGAAGATCCCAGGAGATGGTGGCAAAGGGTTACTTGTCGAGTCCTGCTTTGTCCTTGTCGAATTGTTCTCGTTGCATCCCACATGACCACGTGCCATTGATCCCTGGCCTACTCTGTTCCCCTTACGCAGGTGCACAAGGAAGGAGAGATGCGAGCGGTCCAGCGAGCCCCGGAGATTCGCCTCGGAGATGAAGCAGTGCGTCCGGCTCACTGTGCACCCCAACAACATCTCTGTCTCCCAGTACAACGTGTTGGTAAGAAGCATTGATCCTCCCTTCCTCTGCCTGCTCCTCTGTGGGAGCAGAAAGGGCTCCCCTGATCTCATGACCAATCTTCTGCCCCCAGTTAATATGCTCAGACTCAGCATTCATAGGAAGAAATGCCAGTTTTAATGGCTGTCTCTGATCCATCTGTGTGTCTCCATAGAGCTCCCTATTCCCCTGGGTTTCATCTTGACATACACCGGGGGGGGACTTTTTGTCTTCACTGTGAAGAGCTGAGTGCAGTTCAGAATAGACTGAGCAAGTCCGTCAAGGAGACGTGTTTATACAAAGCACCATGGCCACCAATGAGGCTAGGATCAGTAACTGTGTGTGAACTATGTTTAGGTTGTAGAACTGGGGCAGGTAAGAGGAGGATGGGGATGGGGACCATGATCATGTCCTCTGATTTCCTGTCAGGGTATGTAGCAGTGTCTCTTTCTTGGCCAATCAAACAACCCGAGCTTGACACAGCTTTAACACAGAACACCCCAAGCAGAGGTTTGGAGATCCTAGAAACCGCAGCTTTCAGGACATGTCTACCAGGGTCCATGCTATGTTATCTCTAGCCCTGGTCTTTGTCCACACTAGCTTGGGAGCAGACAGCTATTAAAGCCAGCAAGTGGTATTGCCAGACTTCTAGTATTGTTCAAAATAAGATGCCAGTAGAGTAATAAGTGTTATCATTCCTTCTGGAAGGAACTTTTCTGAGACTGTGAATTTGCTGTGGAGGAACCATGTGGTTTCATCTCTGATGACACCAGTGATAGCTAGAGCGGTGCGTTGTTCACACTCTCCCACTAAGGACCGAGCTAGGACCCCTTTCATACTGGGATTGGAAATGATGACCATGAAATGAAGAGCTCCAACTCCCTGCAGTATCTCCTTGAAACAGTCAGTAGCCCGCATCCTTTTGGGGTTTGGTGGAGTTGTTCGGCTGTTGTCCATCTCCGGCTCTTAGGGCCATAGTTTCTGAGATTTTTTAGCCATTTAACAAGAAGCCAGCCAGTCAAATCCTGCATGTCCAGTTGTGGCTGCTTTGTTTCATCCTCTTAACTTTCCTGTGACTTAACTTTACCAGACTTCAAACAAGACTGATATGAGACAGCGTAAGTCCTTTGTTCTTCCGGGAGTTCAGGGTTTCTTTATTTTTATTCTCTCAGTTGTCTCTTTGAATTCTTTTATGTTAGAATAAATCCTGGGGGAATGACTGAAAATGAGACTGGGATATGGAGCCTTTCACCTCTAGGTTACCGTGGGGGTGCAAATCAGCTCCGAACTATTGTGATCAGAAGTTGTTGTCATCAGATCACTGTCCAGGAGTGTGTGAAATGAGCCAGTGGATATCAGTGAGCAAATGTCCCCATCCCAATGGCCACCATCACAAATGGCTTCTTGGCAGACCTAAAGGAAGCCCCGCTTTGATACCATTAAGTCTTGGGCACATCTGGGTTGGGGAGGCTCTTCCACATTGATGCCAGGTTCTTCCCCAAGGTGAGGGTAGGAAGCATGCCTGTCTGGTCAGCCAACGTTTTGACCAATGACAGGGAGCATCCACATGACATTGATAAGCCAGCTCCTTCGGCATCATGGGTGTCCAGGCATGTGCTTATCACACCTGGTGCTAGTTCAGGCCCATGCTGCTGCCGTGGATTGTGTGAGAGAAGTTTGCTGCATTCTCTGCTCACAGCTGGGCTGAGGTGTTGCAGGAGTCCCTAGATATCAGTGGCCCTCGACATGTGGGCCTAGGCTTTTCCCTTGAGGCTGTGCTCTGATAGGTGACGTACCTGCAGTCTGCATTCTGCACACTTATGAACAAGTTCCCTCTATGGAGAAGCAGCTGAGAGAGAGCTCTGGGCATTTCCTCCTCTGCTGATGGTGGTGTATTAACAGAGAGGGAAGAAGGTCAGATCTGCAGCCATTTGGTAGGAAGGCTACTAATCAAGCCCATCTAAGTCCTCAGGGCTTCTTGTTTTCTCCTCTTCCTGTCCAGTTCTAAGTCAGCAGGCACACACCTTCTTCACCAGGCAATGAACTGGCTCACATGGGCATTGTCTGCTAGTCAGATCAGTGATCCATCCTCTCTGGCCACCACTTATCACAGGGTGGCTCATTCTGGATGCCTTCAAGGGAGACTAAAACTCTCATGATGCACCTCACTGGGAGCATCTACATGTGCACCATTACTATGCAGTAACTGAAAATTACTGCACAGTACGGGAGGACATCTACACATGCACACTGATACTGTGTAGTAACTATGCCGACTCGGGGTAAGGTACCTGCAGGTAGCAAATTTACTCCTGAGTAGTTACTGCGTAGTAAGAAACTTGTAGGCACCTTACTGCACAGTAACCGTGTTTGTGTGGGTTGACTTGGAAGTAACTTTACTTCCAAGTCAGTGCATACACAGCATTATTGCACTGCAATGCCTATATGTGTAGATGCTGGTCTAAGAACTGCTTACTGTACAGTAAGTTACTGTGCAGTAAATGCACGTATAGGCACACCCACTAGGTGGTAATATAGCAGGGAATTAACTCTCTGAACAAATGAATCTATAAGGTGCTATACTGCCCTGCCTTATGTCAGGGAAAAGAGTGGGTGCTCTTTTACCCCTGTTGCTGGAGTAGATGGACCCTCTGCCCTCCGAGCCAGTTGCTGCCCTTCCTCTGCACATAGTTGTTTCTCCTGCCAGTCACCATTACCTCAGAGGTGACTACAACCCCTGTGAAACTCAGATGCTCAGAACCAGCTCATCTAGCAGGGAAAGCATATAAGACACCAGCTGAGCACCCAGAATCATGTCTGCCTCCAGTGGCTGGCCCCCGATCTTTGCTAATCCCTAGAGGTGGAGCTCAGGTCAGTGGCCAGGGCTGGTTGTGTTGGAAGCTGAAGCACGCCTGTGCCTGGCCAATCCATCTGTGGCCGTGTGCATGGCAGTGGCAGGCACAGGTGGGTTGGGGATACCCAAGCAAGGCATCCCTGAGCACAGACCTGCCACTCCAAGTGGCAAACGGCATGACTGCCCCACATCTGAGCAGAGACTTTCTGGAGACTGACTGGTGAGGAAATGGCCAGCAGGAGCGTCCCATCCCTCGCCGTGGGGCAGGACCGCCTGAGCCTCTGGCAGAGTTGCAGCGATGCCACTGTCCCGCTAAAGGGAGCGAATGCTTTTGGCTGACTGATGGCTGTAACTAGACTCTCTATATGCAGGAACTTGGTGCCAGAGACCTCCCTCTGTGGTGATGCTAGGAGAGGAGGCGTAGAGAGTTAGACTGGAGCGCTACAGTTTCTCTGTAGTCCGCAGAGTGCCTCTTGTGAGTAGCAGTCACCTTCCTCAGAAACCTTGTGCCGAGGGGCCAGCCAGCCCTCGTCTTCACAGGCGGCTCCTAAGCCCCCCTCTAGTATCCCACTTGCATGCCCGATACCGAGCACTCCACCCCACCACCCTGACTGTCCCTGCCCAGCACGGAGACACTGCCTCGCCACCCACCACTCGCAATGACATCTGCATCCCATCCCCACCCCCCGACCGGTGCTTTCTCTTGAAGGAGGGTCTGTGTCTAGCAAGAGGCTCTTTGTCCAACCTCTCCAGTGTAATTCTCTTCTGTGAGCCTCCTCTCTCGCTGAGCTCAGTGCTCTCTGTCTGTCTCTCCCCATCCCGTTCCCCACCCCCAACTACTTGCAGTTGGTCTTGGAAACCTACAACGTCCCAGAGTTGTCAGCTGGGGTCAACTGCACCTTTGAGGACCTTTCCGAGATGGACGGCTTGGTGGTGGGGAATCAAATCCAGTGCATCTCCCCTGCTGCTAAGGAAGTGCCCCGAATCATCACAGAGAACGGTGAGTATGCGACGCCCTCCCTGCCCGTGCCACCCATCTTCCCTTCTCCTTGCTCCAGGGACCTGAGCATGGCAAAGGGGCTTGGAAAGACACTGCAAGTTTGTGCCAAAAAACCGTGGCTGAGTTGCTGCAACAGTGTGACCCGCTGGTGGCCGAGAGCAGCAGTGGATTACAGCGCATGTCCATATTTGAGTGCACCATCAGGTTCACGGTGGGCTTCCTGGGGAGTGACTGTGTCAGGCTGCTGTCTCATGGGGAGAATGAGCAGGCCTGCAGCAGTTATACAGGATGGTCACAGATGACTGCCTACTGCAGCAAGAAGCCTGTGCTGCCTGCCTGACTTCCCTGAAGCCTTTTGAAGCTGCCATCTCTTGCTTTTGCTATACTTTGAGAACTGCAGTGGTGACTTGCATCCTGGTAAAGGTGCCCTGAGAGACCCCACTGAGCCATGAGCCAGGCAGCAGCACAAAGGCCACCTTTCCTCCCACCTGTTTCAATCCTAAGCAGCCAGGAGACAGTTCCCACTGAGTTGAGCTTGCTTACCAAGAAGCAGGCACAATAGTGCTGGTGGAGGCTTCTCTAGAGTAGATGCTTGTCCTTTAAGGACCACCAAGTTAAGACCTGTTATCCAACAATCTTTATGTGATGGAGGCTGGGTGAGTGCCTGCAGAGAGTATCTTCTGGAGCCTAATTTTCAGAAAACCCGAGCATTTGCAGTCCCTTCTGTTTTAACAGTGGGTACTTCACACCTCTGAAGACCTAGGGCCTTCTGTGCATTGCTGGAGTATGGGTCTTAACCAGGGGAGGAGAGGCTCTGGACCCATGCCTCAGGCCCTGAGCCCTCCGGTTCTGGTTTTCATGATACGCGAGATGCTGGCAAGGTCATTAAATATGAAGCAGTTAGCAGAGCTGTCAAAGCCATCGGCAGCAGATGGGCAGCAGTGCTGAGCGCTGGCAGCAACACGTATTTAGGAGTGTGTGCGTGTGTGCATGCGCGTGTGTATTCGCAGCCAGAGATGAATTGTCAAGCTTGCTTTGGCCTGATTGATTAATGACTCTTTCAGGTGAGGAGGAAGATAATAGAGGTGGAAGGGCCAGTTGGGTCAAAGCCTTGAATTAAACATGGGCTCCTTCCTCATCAAATTACTGCAATTATTTCATCTGAACAACATTCACTGCTGATGGCACCAAGGGATTTAATCGGGGTCTGTTGTGGGGGGAGCACAGTGGCTGGAGCTGGAAAGGGGTAATGGGATGGAGTGACATGGAGAGGGGGGTGCAGGCAGGCAAGGGGAAAGAAACAGGAATGGAGAGAAACAGTGAAGGGAGTTGGGATGTGGATGAGGCAGAAGAGAAGGTGCCCGGGTTTTTATCTCTTATACCTCTTTTCACTCGTGAGCTAAAAAACCGAAGCGCGAGGCCCTCACGGAGATGGGAGAGGCTGCAAAGCAAGCTCCCGTAATGCTTGACATGCATGTGAAGGGCCTAGCTAAGTTTTGCAGGATCTTTTCCCTTTGTAGCTGTTTTTAAGTGGTATTAAGTAAAGGTTCTGCTGTTGTGCCTGAGTTGAGCATGGTGGATTTGGCACTTTTTAGTGCCTGCTCCAGGAATACCAGGCAGGCCCAGAAAGCAGGTGCTGTGCAGTCAGTGTGCCTGTACTCTTCTAGTTCTGCTTCCCAAAGCAGTGGAGGGAGGTGAGGTAATGGAGTCCGAGCCTATAAGTAAGGAGGGTAAAATATAGCCATCCCAAATCACCCGCTGTGCTCGCTCCACCTAAATCATCACAGCGCTGCCTCAAGCCCAGAACTGGTGATGTATGCTTCAGGCTGTTGATGGGGATGGTCTTTTGTAGGCCTAATCAATGAATTAATTAAGCTGTGCTGAATGGGTCTGCTCAGTTTTAATTCTCAATAAAAATAAGTGTTAATCTAACAGCATGGAGGCTTCTTGGAAGGAGCAAGCAAAAGGGGAACAATGATGCTAAAGGGTGGGAGTGGGGGAGAGGGTCTGGGATTGACGGCACCGCAACCCTTGTCCCTGCAGAGTTCAGCATGCATCTGAGTTCGATGTTTCCAGGGGGAATACACAGGGCCCCCAGCATATGGGAGTCGTCCTGGAAATCCCAGAGCATGGGCCGTACAGTGATAACCACCATCCAGACCTGCCTCCCACCTGTATGGCGTTTACAAGGCACTTTTCCCTGTCTGTCTAAATGCAATGGTCAGCCCCCTCTGCAGTATCCCTCTGCCACTGCTCTCAAGACCTTGGTCTCCCATGCCTGAGAGCAGCTACCAAGGCAGCCCTGCAATGACTCAGTTGGTGCATTGCAGGGTTGAGGCATCCCAGTACATGAGGGTGGGCAGGGCACACTCCTGGAGTGCCAGTGCCAGGACCTGCTGCCGTTGCAGTGTAGATGCAAGTGGGACTACATCTCCTGAGTCTTTTAGCTGCTTGGAAAATGTTGCCCAATAGCTTATTGCCTACCACCATCTGGTATGGAACGCTTCTACCCAGGGAAGTATCAGCATCTGCCTCCCCCCACTCCCTTATAGCATCACTGAGGGGTTTCCTATAATTGGGTAGCATTTGCCTTGAGATGCAGTCAGAAAAGTCAGGGCTGGAAAAGACCTGGCTGAACTAGATGAAATCCACCCCACGTGCATGGAGCAGGCAGGAGTCTGCTAACGGGACAGAGCAGCAGTGTGGTGCTATACATTAGTCTTGGCCTGTATGGGCTGCTCCCTTCTCAAGGGCTGGACAGTGAGACGCACACAATTCAGATACCCAGAGCACTGGGCTGGGAGTGGAGAGATCCAGATTTTATATGCACCTTTGTCTCTCACCTGCTGCGTGACTGGGAGTGAGGCACTCCTGCTCTTGGTGCCTTGTCTGCCTGGTCTGATTAAATGGCAAGCTGTTTGGATAAGGGACTCCCTGTGCATGTGCGTGTATGAAACAGTGGAGGCCCTGTGAAACACTTGGCCCCCATTGGCTGCATTGTTGTGGGTCGTGTGAAAGCGCAGATTTTTTGCATGGTTCTTCATGGCCAGCTTGGTCACCAACACAGCAATCCCATCATCTCTCATTGATCCTTATGTCTCTTCTGCAGGAGACCATCACATCGTCCAGCTCCAGCTCAAATCCAAGGAGACGGGAATGACTTTTGCTAGCACCAGCTTTGTCTTCTACAACTGCAGCGTCCACAACTCGTAAGTTGGGTCTCTCACGTGCAATCTCACATTGATTCTGTTGCAGCTCCATATGCTGGCTGGTACAAGGATCCCAATGACTGCCAGTTAGGTGGGAAGGAGTCCTGAAGTCATGGCTGTGAGAACTGGGGTGCCTCCAGGATCCCCTCCCCACTGGTGTAGAGGGTGCATGTAGACTCACAACATACAGAACATAGGTCATTAGTGCCACTGATTAGCCTGTTTCAGGTGAAAGGTCCCAAGATGGCATAGAAACACATTTCACCAGCAATAAGCTGCACAACATCCCATTCAGTCCTTGACTTCTCTGCTGAGCCTGCCAATAAGGGAATTGGTTGGTGTCCTGGGGCAGTCATAGAAAAGTCAGGCTGGAAGGGACCTCTAGAGGTCATCTAGTTCAGCCCCCTGCCTGAGGCAGGTCATTCCTATTCAAACCATCCCATACAAACCATCATTTAAACCCTACATAAGACTACCATCAACCCTGACACAACACAGACTTGTACTGTAACCTGCCACAAGTGGTGGCCAGGGTGGATACTGCCAATTGAATCAGATTAATCCAGATTCCAAACCCACTTCAGTAACCCTGGAGTAACTCACTAGCACCAGCTGTCTCTTCTACAACTGCGCTGACCATGACTCCTTAATTCATAATCTCCTGATATGCCTCATCCCCAAATCCACCCTTAGCCCCCAGCTGGAATACTCAGGTGTGCATAGGCAGAAAGCCACATTGAAGGAGTTGACTGAGAAAGGACTGAGTCTGGACTTTTGCAAATAGCCCTGCAGACTTACTGCAACAGGGCTATTCATGTAGGCTTTCATGCTCCTCACACCTATGGCACTACCAATCCTTGCCTATGATGTCAGCCCCAGTAAAGTCAGTGGGATAGTTTCAGGTGCCTTCTGTGGCAGGCCAACAGGGGGCGCTCCTACACTGAGCCCCCTACCTCACTGCACCCGACCAAAACCATGCTTCAGGTGTCTCCCCTGGGGTGCCTGTGTCTGGCAACTCCGATTCCTGGAGCACACCTGCAAGTCTGGGGTAACCACTGCCACCACCCGGGGTCTGGTCTTTGTTAGGGCTCTGTGCTGCCCAGGGTACAGAGATCCTGTAGACCTTGGGGGTGCTTTGCCCCCCAGCAAGATGTATCTGGGTGCTTCTTATAGCCTGAAGCATTAACAGTAGCCTCCCTTAGTCAGCTGAGCAAGGGAGCTAAAAGGCTTGCCTAATCCCTCTCAAGCAGGTACAACAAAGCTTGCTGTAATGGGTAGCTTTAGTGATGGGACAGGGTAGTCATGGGGAGGGGTCCAGGTCAGAGAAGTATCAAAAAAACCAACCCTGAGCAAACAGAAGTGGCTTGGTAGCTTTTTGATACGCTTCTAGATCACTTCATCCTAAATTACTAGCTACAATTCAGGTAAGTTATTCACATTTACAGCCAGAGTCTGACCAAGGTCTTTCTCGGCAGCTGTGTGGCTGGTTAGCTGTGTTCAAAAACATGTCTGCCCCCTTTCCTTCTGGAAGGGCTCTTATACACCTGTCGTGACCTCATCACTAAGTTCCCACTAGAAGCAGCCCCATTGGCTGCTGACTGGTGCTTCCAAATGACATCAGCCTTACCAGGTGAGATGGCTAGGCACATGACCTGCAGTGGTGGGAACCTGAGACAATAGAGGAGCAGGTTCCCTCTCCCATTCAGATTTGTACAGCCCAGTCAGTCAAGTAGGTAGGTAACACGGGGTTGGACTGTCTGCTTTTAGCAGTGAGGTAGACTGGGGTGTGATTTCTCCACACCTAGCACCAAGCTAGGTACCAAATCTTGGTAAGTTTGGGCCTTCAATCAGGAGGGCCAATAAGTGGTGGGGTTTCCTATGACATTCATGTGGACACCATTCTCTAGGAGCTGATCTAAGCACCGCAGGCTGATTTCCCATGGGGTCACTTTTTCCATACTGGCCCTGCCTCCCATCCAACCAGTTACCAACACCTTCTGCAGCAATGTGGGGACAGCACTGTGGGAACCCTTGCTGAGCCTCCGAGCGGGAGCACAATCAATTCAACAGTGTCATTGCTGCATTGGGCACTGGGTGCGTGAGCATCACAAGCAAAGCCAATGGGCTGCCTTGTAGTAGCTTGCTCTGGGGGTGCTGTGCTCCCATCTCCAAGCCATCGGCTTCCCCAGACAGCTTTCCAGAGGGGCCAGGAGGAGGTAATTATTACTGCAGCTCAGCAGTTCGTAAGCAAAGGCAAATCCTATTTCCATGTTTCTGCAATTTTGACAAACAGCAGCAAGAGGAAAAAAAAAAAAGGCAGGAAGAGATGGCGGTGTTAAATATTTATGGCATGTTTTGGTTTCCGACTTGACAAACTATAATACACTATCCATTTTTAATTTGATTTATCAGAGCGAGTGCTTGTTACCCATTTGAAGAACAGCTCACTGCGCTGGGGCGGGCGGGGGATTGAAGGGGAAGGAGGTTTCTCAGGGAGGAGAAGGAGAGGATGTGTGAGTGCATGTGTCTGCGCTGGGGCTGAGAGATGGTTTCAGACCTGCGTGTTTAAACAGTGAAATTCCCCTCTGTGCTCCCAGGGGTGAGCTCTCCGGCCAGGTGAGCATGACAGCCGGTGGTAAGCAAGAGCTTGCACCCTCTGATGGCCCTTGTGGTGGCCTGCGTGCAAATTGGTGTGCATGTAAAACACTAAGAACCGATGAAGGTGCAAACTGGAAGCATGGCTGCCCTCATAGAAAATGGGGCTTGACAGGTCATCTAGTCCCTTCCCCTGCCCCGGGGAAGGTACAGCCATAGCTAAATGCTGCCTGGTCTATCTGGTCTTTTCCTTTAGGGTCATGCATGTAACAAGGAAGCCAAATCCAAGCAGGCTGTAGGTGGAAAGTGAACTGGGGAACTGTCCTGACCTGAGCCTGGGTGGGAGCTTGGCTTCCCCAAAGGCATCCCCTCCCCTCTGCCTTGCAAACAGACACATCTTCCCTTGGCATCTCTATTAATGGAGCAAAATTGGGTTAATGCCACAGTCACCAGAAGTCTGTGCCCTTCCCCAGCTGGACAGGGACTCGGTGGGGCTGATATGGAAAGAGCCACCTTACTGCCGTGGACTGCCACATCACAATCACATCCATGTGAGTCTGGGATGCAGCTTGCTGCACCTGGTTCACAACATCAGTGGCAGTGCCCACTCTTTACACCACCTTGGCCCCACAACTACATCCTGGCTGGCACCAGCTAGTTCTCTTGCTGCCCACGTCAGCAGAGAGGCCAAGGACTAAACAGTGCACAAGGGCTCCTGGTGCCAGCAGTGGCTGGGATCCTACCTGGGCACTGCCCAGGATGAGCTCGTTCATTATCAAAGCAGCCGTGCCCTGCCCTCCCATCATCCCAGGCAGTGCGGTCCCACTTGCTTTCCTAGGCACCAGGTCCAGTTCACCCCTATGCATCAGCATCTCACCAGCTTGCCCCAGGGCTATGCCAAGTTCTGCTCTCGAATCAAGGCAGTTTCTCTTGACACGGCCCTCTCTCACGCCATCACACCGCCCCATTGTGCTGGTGTGTGAAGCTGGGTTGGCCAAGTGATTTCCTTTCTGTCGGTCCCCAGATGCCTGTCATGCGTGGAGAGCCCCTACCGCTGTCACTGGTGTAAATACCGTCATGTCTGCACGCACGACCCTCGATCCTGCTCCTTCCAGGAAGGCCGTGTCAAGCTGCCAGAGGTAAGGAGGGCCATGGGGGCCATGGTCTGTAGGGCGGGGGGAGGGTACCGCCATGCTCCAGGATGACTTAAACTCCCCATGCCTGCCCTTTCCACCCCTTCACTGCGACCTGTCACCTTCACCACCTCTTCCCGTTCTCTCCTCACTTTCTTCCCCCACCAGAAGGTCTCCTTCCATCGGATGCGTGCGATGCAGGCTGGCATCTTGGAGGTCAGACTCACAACCAACCCCCTGCTTCCTGGCTTTCCCCATCTGTTGGCACCATAACAGGTTGCACATTTGTGCCGGGCACCACCTCACAGAGCAGGCACGAGATATCTAAGCGCTACCGCCAGAGAGTTTGCGTGGGGACAAGAACAGCCTGTTCAATCAGGTGTGGGAGGGAGGAGAGTGGGTTGCTTCTGTCTTAAAGCACTAGCATCATGAGACCCCAACGAGGAGTTGGTGCAGCGCCCTGGTTGTCAGAGCATCCAGCAGAGAGGCTCTCGGAGCCGGCAGGTCTGGCACAGCTCCCTGTCAGCGCCTAAGTGCAGGTGTATGGTGCTCTCGCAGGCTGGGTGGCTGTCCCTGCCACGCATGGCAGAGCAGGCCCCACAGATACATAATGTGCTGTCAGGCCTGGGAAAGGATGGCTCGAAGGCCTTCATCCGAATGTAAGACATGAACGGAGGGAACGCGTTTGCTCGGGAAGCCATGGCGGCTGCCACTGCTCGCTGCTCACTGACAAGGAGGTTTCTAGGCTCTGGAAGGAGGGGAAACAGCTGTGTGTGTGCATGTGCCTGTGCATGCATGTGTGTGTGCATGTGCGTGTGCATGCATGTGTGCACCCTGTGGAGGGAGAGGAGGGAGAGCAGTTGCTCGCAGACTTAATGGGAGTCTTGAGACTTTAAGTAACCTGGAAGGGCCCCACCAAGGTGTTCAGGCACCTGACCCCCCTACTGATTTCCCAGGAGTTGGGAGCCTAAATCCCTTCGTGGATGTGACAGGAAGCAGCCCACCCCCAGCAGAGTCGAGGGGGTGACCTAGGTGCTCAGCCAGGGAGGGGGGAATTGGGATGCAGTGAGCAGTCACATCCAGGGGAACTCAAGAGGATAAATGACCTAAGATGGTTTGTTGCGTGCTTGGCTGGAGGGACCAGTGTCCCTGACGAGGGCTGATATCTCACGAACCATCAGGCACGGGGGCTGTTGATCAACTCCAGCTCTCTGGTGACGCGAGCACATTTTGTTCTAGCTGGAAAGCTTCCCAGAGTACAAAGCTTAATATGGATGACTCTGAGAGCGTGCTCCTCTATCGTGCACTGTGTCCTATGGCTGCAGAATAGCCCTGATGCTGGACCCTGCAGCAGACTCTTAGAGACACCCCCCAATCTCCCGAGTCTCCTTTCTTCTTGAGCGTGTCTGCTGGCTGACAGTTCAATCCTGGAGGCAACCATCTTGAACTGCAGTGACAACGGTAGAGGACATAAATAATTCATGGGCCAGACGTTGCCAGCAGTTGGTCCTCTGGGAGTCAGCCTTTCCTGGTAGTCTGTTGTGAAACTTGCTGGGAACTAGGCGGGCAGGCAGGCTCGATGGCTTCCCTTCAGATGTCAGATGCACTGGCAGCCCATCCGGTGCCTGGGAAAGCAGCATGGTGTTGGGGCCTTTCTGTCTTCAGCTGGTGCCATCCAGGCAGGGCCTCCCCTATTGCTTTTGAAAATGAGAGATGGTTTGGTTAGCTCAGCTCTCTCCCAAATCACAAACACAGGCAGTGACTTAGGCAACTCCCTTATATCTTCATTTGATTCTCTTCAGAGGTAGCATCTCCAAACAGCAGAGCCAGGAGGCTATCTAGGAGGCTTTGCTGCATGGTATGAATTTGTAAGGCTGCAGCCTGGGTCAGCTTTGTAAGGCTCCTACCCTGCAGCCTTTAAGTGCATGGACCGGTTTATACTAATCGAGGCCAGCTGACCCCCAGACCCTTCCCTTTGCTTGGGTCTGGAGCTGCGTTTAAGAAACTCCTGCAGCACTTGAGCCTTGCTGTGCAATGCACTGGTGTTCAGCCTTTGAGCAGCTCCTGCCCCAGCGACGTCTGTGCTTCCCTGGTTCCTGACTCTGCTTTCGGCTTGCTCCTGGATTTTGGCCTCAGGGTTTTCCCTGCAGATCTGCTTCCTGACTCCTGAACCCAGTTTGGCTTACTCTTGGATGCCACCCTATGGATTTCCCTTTGGACTTGGTAACTAGGTTTCTGATTCCCAGCTCCTGACCCTGGCTTGGCATTTTAGCTTCTGACTTGTGGTTTCTGACCCTTACCCTGCAACCTCCAGCTCCACACCTTGCTCTACCTACCAGCCTGGTGGACCATGACAGGATTGCCCTCTCAGTCACCTGGTTAATGGAGGATAACCCAATACTTCTAGTAACTTGAAAAAAAGTTCATGATCTTTGGAGAAAAGATACGGGCCCAAGCATCTTTCCCCGGGCAGGAAACTACTTGCATCAGATGACATTACTAGTCCAGCCATGTCATGGAGATGAAGCCTTTTTGAGTATTAGGAGAGAGTCCAGCATATGGAAGGAAGACTTCCAGAATCAAGGGCATCCATGGTGGTTTGGCCCAGGAGGACAGGAAACACTGTGTGGTTGTGTGGCTCTTCATGAGTCCTGGACTTGTCACCAGATATTTGTCATACCCCAATTAACAAAAACAAGGAGAAGACCTCCGGGAGTATCTAGTCCATCCCACAAAGATCAGTAGAGGGTTGGCCCTACCGTATCCTATACATATCACTCATTTTGAGTGGCACAAGTGCTCTTCTTCCACTTCCCAGAAGACCCTATTAACAGCCTAACACATTTCACTAGAAGAGACTGTTTCTTAATATTCAGCCAACATTTTCTTCTGGAAACTCTTTTTCCATGTCTCCTAGTTGTATCCATTTCTGTCCTGGCCATTACTTGCCAGAACATCACCACTTGGGCGGGAGCCTAGATTCGTTGAATCATATAGACCTTCCAGCTCCTGAAACCATATGGACCGGACAGCTGTCCCTCACCTACCATCGGGAGCCTGGCATGGCCACCAACTAGTTCCTGGACTGCTCAGTTCAGGCATCAGCTGGGATGTAGTTTCTGCCTCGTACAGCCAGCCTTCCTTGTGACATCTTCCCCAGCGTCTGGGCCCTCAAGCGTAGACTGTTTTCATTAGTCTTTCCATCCTTAATATTTGCGTTGCTGCCTCAATGCAGCCTTTTTCCTTCTTCTTCTTCGCTGGGGGGCTTTCACTTCTGTTTGGAGGGAGTACCCGCTGAATCGGTCTGTCCCGAGCAGGTATTTATTCCCACTGTTTGGTGGGTGCAGGTTTCCAGCTTTCTGCTGAGCATCGGAGCGTGGAGCGTTTCCAGGAGCGTATGGTCCCATTGCACCAAGAGCCGCCTTGCCAAGTAAACAAACATTGGTGAGACTTTGTCGCGCATGCACCCGCCAGCCGCTCTTCCCCTAGTTACTCATCGCTGTCAGTGTGCCAGGCTTGTTCCTTCTCCCCCACAAGCTGGCCTTCGCCCCAGCGTTGCTGTCTTCTCTCGCCCACTCTTCTTTCCTACCCATGCGGCATCTTTCAGCCAAACCCCGTGTGGGCCGAGTCTTCCCACTCATGTAGCACGTGGTCCACGCTTTGCACATTTGAAGGTGGATCGAAACATGCAGACATGCCAGTGTGCTTCCAGAGGCTTGTGCTTAGGTCCTGGTTTCATCAGATGCCTGCCGGTTTATGCAGGAGTGCTCTGACTGCCTTCCTGGTCTCTTGTGGAGCCTCC